GCAGCCTTTGAAGACGAAGCGCAGCGGCTTCTTCCGCAAGATGATAGACACGGCGAAGACTCAGGCGGCAAATGCTCGTAGCACCATCGACACGATAAGCAGGCCAGGATCCCGGGCTGCTAGCCGAGCAGCGGGTCGTGCAACCAGTCGCGCCGCAAGCCGGATGGACAGCAATGAGCCAACAGGTATCGAAGGAGGTAAAGCGACCCACACGGCAAACCCCTCTAGAGATACGGGCCTGGGGACGGTGGATTGGGTACAAGTCCGCCGTGACGTCAACCGATCCAACTCTCTCAGCAAAAACGAGCGCGCGGAGCGAGCCGAAAGATGCCAAATGATGGATATTCCCGTCTTGAACCCGATTGAGATCTTGTACGAGTCAGCGGAAGGCGACGAGGGTCTCGATGGCCTTCCCATCACCGAGCCTACCGATTTCGCAGCCTGCAGTCTTGGCCATGTTGACAAAAGCACGCGGTTCATCAACAGCGTTCCTCTTGGAACTAACCCAGCGACGTTGGCTCAGGCATACGTGTGCCGACCCTACCGGAGCGATATGCAACGATTACGGGCCATCTTTACTTGGGTCAGCGAGCGTATCGCGTGGGAGGACGACTTCGAAGGCGAGATGGACCCGAAGCATGTGATTCAGGGCAAGCGTGGATGCTCTCAAGAGATCGCCATGGTTGTGGCAGAGATGTGCGCTTCTGTTGGAATGCATGCTGAAGTTGTTCGTGGCTATTTGAAGACGCCTGGCGAACCTCTGGATCTGGAAAGCGTTGCCCGACCGAATCACTTCTGGAACGCTGTCATCGTTGAGGGCGAGTGGCGTATCATGGACTGCTCGCTTGCTGGGCCTACAAATCCAAAGCGAGTTCACTACTCAACGGCGGGATCATCCGTGGCGGAGACGTGGTACTTCCTTGCTCGTCCCATGGAGATTTGCTATTCTCACGTTCCGCTGCTGCCCGAACAGCAACACATTTGCCCTCCACAGCCTCACGAGGTGCTGATGGCTCTGCCTTGCGCAACACCGGCTTATTTCCGGCACGGTCTCAATATGGTTAACTTTGACACTAGCCTTCTCAATTTGGACAACCTCGAGATGGGTCACGTGTATATTGACGTGCCGGAAGACGTAGAATGCGTTGCGGAAGTCGAGGCAAGATCTTACTCACAAGACATGGACGGCGACTTTTTCGAAAGCGGTGAAATTGTCAAAAAGCCGGCATTGGCGCAAGCTGAATGGTACGGCGGCCAGAAGAGATATACCGTCAAGGCTCTTCTACCGGGTGATGGAGGTCAGGGTGTCCTGAAAATCTATGCAGGACCTCGGGGACTCATGGTAAGTTTATTCTATGACACTGTCAGTTCATGCATACTAACGTTTTCCAGCACTCAAACAAGATGAACCCTCATAACCTGGCGATCGGCCTTCCAATGACCCATACCGGCACCAATCCTCCGTACTCATTCTTGACACTGCATCCTACGCCCCATGCCCAACGAAACGATCTATATGTCGCTCAACCACAGTGCGCCAATTTGGCTCTAAACAACACTTTCGTCTTTTGCGTGCGCCAGCATCCATCGTCCCTCACAAAGTCGCCCGAACCCAGTCCTGCGATGCACGGCCGAGCGTCGCCAAATCCCTTTGCCCGTCCTGCTTCTGCTATGAGCATGCAGAGCATCTCGGCTACTGGTTCCAACTACACAAACCCATCACAAAGCTCTTCCGGATCAGCAGACAGTAGGAGCAACAAACCCGCTAAGCTAGCCGTACAAACACCTTCTGGCAAGATTATCCGCCTGACGAGAAAGACGGAGCACATGAGCAGTACCAATGATGCCGACGGCACGGCTTGGGAGACAATCATCAAGATTGGAGAGAAGGGCACATGGCGAGGCTTGGTACTTGCCGACCGAAGCGCGAGGTGGTGTGTTTTCGCTCAGTGGGAGTGTGCTTGATTTTGTAGCGACTCTTCTCTTCAAAGTACGTATTATGACTTGTAATGATAGCGTTTGGTTATAGTATGACCGCGACGGCCGTTACGGCGCTTTTGCATAACTCGGCGTTTCTGTAGGATATGGGGTGTGAGAATACTATTATGGCGTATTTGGTAACAAGATAACATTTGAGCTTTTCAATTGTGATGTCTGATGAATGTGATAGGAAAAAGTATAGTCATCTCAATGACCAGCTCGTACCAAGATCAGATTATGTTCTGAGTCAAAGGTGCATTTTGCCTTTGTTGGTGAGTCACCTTGATGTATCTAATATCCTCTATAAAGTTGTCGATGCACAGAAAAGACTACCCTGTACTCCGTAGTGACTCGTACCTGCCAAGCTCAGCGATAAGGCGCTGCCCCGCTTCATCAGTCCACCCCACCACGTCTTTTTCCCAACCCCAAAGACTGTCCGACGACAACACCATACGCGCACCACACCCACCGCCAACATGGACGCGCAAATCGCCGAATGGCAACAACGCTCCGAGGCGCTCAAGCCCCTCAACCTCAAGCAAATCGAGCCCCACCTCCTCGAACTCGACGCCCACCTCACCCTGCGCTCCCACATTGTCGGCTACACCCTCTCCGACGCCGACACGACAGTATGGAAGACGATCCGCGAGAACCGCGTTGCGCACGCCTTCATCAAGCAGGATCTGATGAAGAACCTGTGTCGCTGGTTTAGGTACATCGAGGAGGCGTATCCACAGAGCGTGGTTGTTGTTAGTGGGGGACAGGGTAAAAAGGAGGATGGGAAGGCGAAGGGAAAGAAGGAGGGGGGTAAGAATGATGATGCGAACTATGATATTGGGTTGCAGGATGTGGGTGATGGGTCGGGGATTGTTACTAGGTTTCCGCCTGAGCCTTCGTAAGTTAATCTCTCAACCATGCGAACCACTTTCTAATTGTATTGCAGAGGTTACCTCCACATCGGTCACGCAAAGGCAGCGCTGCTGAACGACTACTTCGCGCACGAGAAATACAAGGGCAAACTCATCCTACGTTTCGACGACACAAACCCCACAAAGGAGAAGCAAGAGTTCCAAGATGCTATCGTCGAGGACTGCGCGCTTCTCGGCATCAAGCCAGACCAGGTCTCATACACCAGTGATTGGTTCGACCAGCTGTACGAGAGCTGTGTGCAGGCGATCAAGGATGGACTGGCATACGCAGACGACACAGTACAGGAGAAGATGCGCGACGAGCGCATGAACGGTATCGCTAGCGCTCGCCGCGATGCCAGCGTTGAGGACAATCTTGCGCACTTTGAGGAGATGAAGAAGGGCAATGAGGAGGGCCTGAAATGGTGCATCCGCGCAAAGATGTCCGTTGACGACCCGAACAAAGCAATGCGCGACCCTGTCATCTACCGATGCAACCCCCAGGCGCATCACCGCACCGGCGAGAAGTGGAAGATCTACCCTACCTACGACTTCTGCTGCCCCATCGTCGACTCGCTTGAGGGCGTCACCCACGCTCTACGCACGACCGAATACAACGACCGCGACGCACAGTACCAATGGTTCATCAAGAACCTCAAACTGCGCAAGGTGCACAACTGGGGTTTCGCGCGTCTAAACTTTGTCCGCACGGTGCTGTCCAAGCGCAAGCTCACCAAGATTGTTGATGCTGGTATCGTTGCGGGCTGGGACGACCCGCGCATGCCAACTGTGCGCGGTGTCCGTCGCCATGGTGCCGTCATCCCGGCTCTCCGCGAGTTCATCCTCAAGCAAGGTCCCTCCAAGAACATTGTCAACCAGGACTGGTTCGCCTTTTGGGCTACTAACAAGAAGCACATTGAGCCTACTGCTGCCCGTTACACTGCGATTGACGATTCTGGTCGCGTTCCCGTCACCATCATTGGCGCGCGCGAGGGCGTCATCTCCGAGGACAAGCCGAAACACGCCAAGTACGATCTCGGTAACAAGAAGATCGTCTTCAGCTCCTCCGTCATCATGGAGCAAGCCGACGCGCAGTCTTTCGCTCAAGACGAGGAGATCACACTGATGAACTGGGGTAACGCCATTGTGCGCAAGATCAGCCACTCCATCAACCCTCTCGAGATGGCCAAGCACGGCCTCAAGACCGTCACCGGCCTCGAGCTCGAACTGCACCTCCAGGGTGATGTCAAGAAGACGTCCAAGAAGGTCACTTGGTTGAGCAACGATCAAGATCTCATACCTGTTGAGCTCGTCGACTACGACTACCTGATCACAAAAGACAAGCTGGAGCCGGATGACAACCTCGACGACTTCCTTAACAAGGAGACTGAGACGAGGACCAAGGCCATGGCTGACTGCAATGTTGCTGAGCTCAAGGTCGATGACATCGTACAGTTTGACCGCAAGGGCTTCTTCCGCATTGACCGCGCTTTTGCGCATGGCGAGGCGGTCGTTGCGTTCCAGATTCCTACTGGTAAGAGCAAATAGATACTGCTCATTGGGTTTGTCTATTGAAAGCGCTGCTATGGCACTGAACAGATACCGATAAGGCAGTCTCTGTTAAATCTGCAACCAAGGGTCTCAAACCAAATCTCTCGTGTGCCACTCTCACTTCTCAATCCCTCCATTGACCTAAGGTTTTTGATATCCTCACATTCGCAATCAAACGTGTGAGTTACCTCGTCTCTCGCCTATCCGCAGTAGTCGTAATCCGCTCTTGCCTCTTGAATTGGCCAGATAAGCGACATAGCTTCCAGGCTCACTTTCCATGTTTCCATGATACAAAGATCGCTCCTTCCTCGCTGGACGTTTCTCACTGTCACTTTCCTCATTCACCGTTCATCGTCCATTATAGCTCATGCGGACTCATCAGAGTCGGCCTCAGCTTAATCGCTTGCGCTTTCTTCTTAGTCTTTTCTACAACTCCATCGCCCCTACGGTCGCATTCTCGGTGCATCTTCCGTTCAGTAATCGCTCTCACGCAACAATACCAGAGGAGTCATCATGAGGTTCTTCGTTCCTGCTGTCTTCCTGGCAGCATGCAGTGTGCTCATGGCTGCTGCAGCACCAGCTGCCAGCATGGGAAACAGTCAGTGGTCCCACCCAAAGCGACGAAAGCTCTTGCTAAATAACTGCAGCCTCTGACGTAGCTCTTGGTGATGGAATTACATGCCCTGGAGCACCCAGTATGTCACGCGCTCCCATCTCACCAGCAGCACCCAGAAGCTATACCTACACACCACTATGTACTTTTCAAACCAAGCCCACACTCCACTAACGAATCGCTCCCGTCTAGCCTCATGCGACGATACCATAGTTCTCGGACTAGGTCACAACGGGATCAACGTCGGCGACAGCAAAACCCTCTACAACGACGTCACCGTAGCCCTCATGAAGCTCTGCCCCGTTGCCGACAACTACTGCGTCAAGAAAACCGTCACCTTCCCCGTCTGGATCAGCGTCCCCGCCGTATCGTCTCCCTACCGTCGTGTTCGCCAACGCAAGAGCATCAGCGTCACAGTCCTGGACGCCAAATGGGGCGGCCGCCAGAATGTCCACGATCTCATGACCAGCACCATCGCAGCCGCATTCGAGCGTGGGACCTACGATCCGGAGAACTGCTTTTCAAGCCAAATCCCGGGCGAAAAGGACGGGAAATGGAGGGATTGCATGACGACGGACTATGCAGAGATATTTCTGTCGAACAGCTACAAGATGAAGGTCAGGTTTCAGGGCCCGTCGAGTTGGCAGAAGAACTTGAACTGGGAATGTAACAGGGAGCTTGATGATATGTACCAGTTCTTGAGGAAGAACTTGCCATGGAAGGCAGTGACCTATTGGATCTATTGTCTGAAGAAATAGGTCTGAGAGCTGACATATGGTGGGATAGAGAGGGAGATGGAGAAGAAAGATGAGGATGGGTAACAGTGAGGATGAGACGATGGAATATGGGCGATTTCGTTGACTGTTCACTGGACAAGCGTAATATTGTCTACAACCATCAGCGTTTCCCCTCGATCTGAAATATTGTGTGAAGGTAGTAATGAAACTTCAAATGACAACAGCGGAATGAGTTCTTCGTGGGTATCATATTGATTCATGTACCGTATCTAGATCTTTTCTAGGCTCGTGACTCTTGTCACGGCCACCACCCACCCACCCGACGACAGCATGTCGTCATACACAAATCGTTATGAACAAGCTGTCAGACCACAAAAGTTGTGTCTGGTACGGCAATTTCAAGCCCAACATGCTTCAGCGTGATCAAAGCTCTTCGAGCCGCAAGCCAAGTATGGATTTACTTGGAGTTAGACCCACCGCCCTCCTTCCTCCCCTGCGTCCCCTCCTTAGTAACCTCATCCGGCTCACCCTCCTGCAACTTCTTCTGCCTCTCCTCCTCGCGCTTCCTCTCATGCTCCCTGACCATATCCGGCGGGCTATCCTCAATAAGATCCGAGTCACCACTCAGCCCGCTCCACTTGGGCAGACCATCCGGGATATCCATAACGCGCTGGCCGTAGAACATGTGGCAGCGGGGCTTGAAGTACGCCTTGTCCTCGTCGGTCTTGAGGTGCACAAGCGAGGGGAAGAGCAGGATCATGTTGCGGCCCTCGTCCATGATGGGCGAGTGGCAGTAGGAGCAGCGCACTTTGCAGGGCAGCTTGTGCTCGATGGATTTGTCGGTTGGGTCGTACCATTCTAGGTCGTGGTGGCCGTTGGTGAAGTTGATGTCGTCTTTGTGGAAGATGGCGGCCCATTGGAAGGGTGCGGCTGAGGGGTGGGTGTTAGCACAGATGCTGCGTGTAATGAACTATGGGAGGCTCACCATGTTGTGTCTGGCAGGTAGTGCAATGGCACAGCTTGCTGTCTAGAGGCTCCCTTCGGCTGAGCTGGTACTGAACCTTTCCGCAATGGCAGTTGGCCTCGTACTTGACGTCAAAGTCCTCGTTCTTCTCGTGGACGCGGTAAGGGGGACGCTGTTTCCACTCAGACTTGCCGGTCGTCTCCTGACCGCGGCTCTGGTCCTTCTTAACCTGTTCTTTGTCCATTCTGAAGGCGGATTGAGAGAAAGCGGGATACTGTCGCGTGAGGTGTGAAGCAACTAGTCGGGCACGGGGTACAGCTCTTGAAGTCGTTAGAAGTGGTAGCCGACGGAATGCAATTGAAGCTGCGGACATGAATAGAAAATTGGAGGGGATGTGGTGGTGTTACGTGGGTGGTTTTGATGTTTGCTTGCCGTCATCATCGATGCTTTATTTGGGGAGGCGCGTTGATCTGACGTCACCATGACCACAATTCCGCTACGCGACAACGCGTGCTCTAGATTCCTTATCCCCATTGTGGGAATCGATCGTCAAAAAGAATACGCCCACGCGCCTTTCCGTCAGCGAAAACGCTCAGATATGGAGCCCAGATTTCGCCTTCCAATGCTATGCTTTTGCTACACAATCCCATTCGTCAATTCCTCCCCTAGTGTCCCACTCTCCCGCACTTCATCGCGATCGATCTTGCATTACGGTTTGCTATGAGCCGTGGCCCATGACCCTGACATCGTTGGTAGCCGTGCATCTGGCGGTAGCCATCGTGTTTCGCCATGTCTGATCTACTAATGATGGGTTTTCAGCTACCGCATCCCCAAAAGCCGGTTGTAGCTGGCATTTGCGCTAACGCACGGAGTGGTTCCGTGCCTAGCGTTCCACAAAGTCTCATCGCAAGTAGCTTAGGCTCCTTTCAGTAGCTTTTGAGCTTCTTTGCTGGACAGACCGAAGACATTAATTAGGTAGTCGAGTCTGCCGACGTTGTTAGTACAAGCATTTCGGTCGATTGATCATCTTCACTCACTTGATGTCTCCTGCTATCCGCCTGCGCACAGCCTCGAACTCAACTTCAGCTTTGTCTCTTGTCGCATCCTGCCTCTTCGAATTGATCGTCTTGACACGCAGCTTGAATTTTCCGCTGACAGGACGGTGATCCGATACTTTGATGGTGTCGTGTCGCCGGTATTCCAACTGCTTGATCCTACCCAAGCCGCGGTACAACAGCCGATCACACCATGCAGGTGATCGCTGCTTCTCAGAAGTATCATAGTTGTCGGTCCCCACGTCATACTTGTAAGTTGGAGCAAAGTTGATCGGCATCTCAGTGAACGCCCTCAAGCGGAAACCAGGATTGCGCTTGCGGGACAGAAGCAGCTGATCACGTTCGAGAAGCTTCGCCAAGTTGCCTTGCTGCACAGCAGCAACAACAGTATTACGAGGCATCGCGTCGATGCGGTAATTCAGATCGCCGTTCAAGATACAGATCTCGTGATCCAGAATCATGGAACCATCACCACCTCCAACAAAGTAGTTTGCGCATGAAGTTGGGGAGCGATTCTTTGGTAATGGTGCATTCTCCATGATTGCGGCTGCGTCGTTGTTGCGATGTACTGTTTGCGTCTGACCGGCTGCAAGATGACAGTTGATAAAGCACAGCGATGAATCGTCGATGAAGAAGCGCACAACGAGTGCACCCTTGTTGCCAACACGGCCGCTGAAGCCAAGCTTGATTTCAGCTGCGCATACATCGCGGATGTTGGCCCGTTCCGAAGCCTTTACAAACACACAGGTGAACAGACCGACGAGGTTGGCCGTATGCAGGAGTACGTAGTTCTGTTTTGGACTGTACTCGTCCAGGACGCGAACAAGATGGTCTCGCCACGCTCGATATTGATGTGACATGTGCTCGCTCTCTGACGTCTCTTTGTGCTTCTTTCTTTTGAAGATACTCTTGGCTGTGATCTTCTTGTCTTCCAGATCAACCAGTTCCTGGAAGCCAAACACAAGGATGTCAGGCGGGTTCTCGGGTTCGAGTATTTCCCGGAAGAAGTTGCGATCTTGCTCTGTATTACGTAGATTTGCGGGTTTGACTGCGCCGGCGTTCCATGTCATAACTCGCGCCGAGAGTTCTCTGAATTCGCAGTACTCCCCATCACGTTGCTGCATTAGGTTTTCTGCAAAATGTCAGCATGGCACCACACAATACACACAGTACGACTTACCGAGCCAATCGTCCTTCATCATGCCATCCCAGACGCGCAGCATCGTGTCTGTGCCAAGGGACGCAACCTGAAACCTATCGAGTTTCCAGATGCTCGTGCGATCCGCCAAGATGCCCGCTATCGGCTTGTCATGTGCCTTCCAATCCTTCAACACCTTCCAGGGTGTCGACTTGGTGTCGTACACGTATATCATTCCAGTACTGTAGCCAGCCCAAAGGACGTCACCAACACCGACCAGGGAACTGATCTTGTACACACTGACATTCACGATTCCAAGACATTCGAAGCTCTTCTTGGAGTATATTGTAACTTTCCCGTCTGCGTGTCCGAAGTACATGCGGTCGGGCTGACTGCTGATGATAGCACCGGAGGTTACGTCTCCGACATTGAGCTGAGATAGCGAACCCTGGGTTAATTGCTGGAAATGGTTGTTATCCGACGTGCGGGCGTAGACTCGGATATCTTTCGTCGTGGCTACCCATAATTGTGAGCCTGAGATGATAGAAAAGGTGCTTCCACGGGGGATACGGTAGGTAAGTGGGGTCTGCTGTAGGGACGGGCATCCAAACTCGTCAGCTGGCCAGATGTGTAGTACGCCGTCCTCGTCAAGAGACCACATTTCTGCAGCATAGCGGAAGATCTTAACGATGACACTCCTAGCGTGTGCGTTACTCTTAGTGTGCACTACACTTTGCGTGGGGATGTCAATCTCATGCATTTCGCCTGTGTTCGTTCCTAGCCATAATCGCTTGCCTTCGTCTTCCACATCTTTCGCTGGTCTGAATGCAATCGCTGTGGCTTTGACTGTGTCGCCATGAGCTAAACTCATGAGCAGTCGCCCGTTCAGAACGTTCCAAACGTTCGTCACGTATCCGGTTGTACATATGTAATCGCCACAAATTGCAAAGAGCTTGGTCTCGTAGCCGGTGGGGATACCGGCTATGCCGTCTGGGAACACTGGTGGTCTCCGGTTCGCTTGTGAGGAGTCTGGGTAGTCTGTTAAAGCAGTCGTCGGTTGCTTGTCTGCGCCTGTATCCTCTTCATCCGAGTCATAGGTATACGGCTGTGATAGCTGCGATGCCTGCGCAGTAATCGGCTGTGACGGTCTTCTCATTTCCCCCGAGTTCCGTGGAGGCGGTGGTTTCGGAGGTTCTAACGCTTTTCCGGGACTAGCGGATATGGCACCAGTTGTGTTGGTCCGCCGAGGAGGCGGCATGAACTTGTTGTTCGCTTCTTGCACCATTTGCCCAGGACGGGTTTGATCGAAAGATCGTCGGACTGGCAAATCAGGAGGAGGTGCTCTTTGTAGTTGTACACTCTTCCGCAGATCGAAATTGTCCTTCTCTCGTCGCGTAGGTAACGATGGGCGGTCTTCCGGCATGTCAGTCGGTGATGGTGGCGGCATCGTCTTCTTCAAGGCCTGCTTTCCTACTGGCCGGGGATCCGCGAATGGGTGGTTCTCGGCGACTGCGTTTGATGCGGGAGCAGCTGCGAAGTAACCATTAATGCCTCCAGTCATCTTTGGTTTCGAGAAGCCCGGGATGACTGGTGGAGAAGATTCGCCCTTGACGCTCTCTCCACTACTGCTAGGTGGTGTACTGAAGGGAGAAATGTCTGCAGCGTCTGATGTGGCTTCGGGCGCCAGGTTTGTACGAGCTGGTAAATCCACAGAAATCGATTTTGGTGGTATCTTTGGTTTACCCGCTCGGTTCACAGGCGGCGGTACGGGAGGCGCAGAGGATACCGGTCGATCACCCTTTCGCGGGTCATTTGCGGGGCCGTTGCCTGTGTGGGCTGGAAATGTAGGTTTCGCGTCCGTAGC